GTGATCTTGACAGATTTTCTCAAAGGACATAGAACAGACGATCACAGGGGCTTACTGAGAAGAAGTTTTAAGACAACTTAAAAGTGCATTCGTGAGAAAAAGACCTGGAAAGTTGTGCCAAGGAATTTTTCCCCATCACAACAATATCCTGGCTTTCTTCGAGGGTAGCAAGGGCTGTCCTACAAGAACCTGGGGAAACATTACCCCATCTACCCTATAGCCCACATCGTGCCCATTAAGATTTCTTTTTAACTCCTAAAATTCAATAACATTTCAAAGGAACATGATTTGGGTTCCTCAAGGATGTACAAACTGCCACTTTGACATGGTGTAAATTAAAGAGGGCAGAATTCTTTGAGGGAAGGGTTAGAGGTGAACACACCCTTCAGAGTGTATAGACCTACATGGAGGATATGTTGAAAATCAAGAACTTCACATTTTCACATTTTTGTTTAATAAAGGTTTCTATAACTTTGTAGCAATATTTTTATACTTCCCCTCCTCTGTATAAATCCTAGAGTTAGTCTCTAATACTATTCTCCACTGAAAGAAAGAAAGCAAAGATCCTTACAATGTAACAGATAGAAAATTGTGATGTAGGGGAAGTTCAGGAAGAATCTAGAATATCCTATTGCTACAAGGCAAGGATGTTAGAGGTGGTGCTCACATTAAAACTAATAATCACTATTATAATAGTGAGTTAAAATAAATTTGAGAAAGGTCATGAATGTATACCAATACTTAATAGTAAAGAGTTAATATGTTTCAAGAACATAATTTTAATGTAAGAGCATAAAATTTAAGTTTCAGGGTTTTTTTATTGCTTTTAATTTTAAAATTTCATATATATGGGCATTTGGCTTCTTCAATTAGGAACAAACATAGATAGAGCCTTTTATTTATCTATATAGAAGAAAGATAAATACAGGAAACATATAGTCACAGGACAAAAAGGACTGATCAGCACATACACCTGACCAAGTGAAAAGAGAGTTCAGCAGTGTAGTCCCAAGAGAATGAATACACGAAATGGGAGATATCTGATTCCTTATCATCTAGGAGATGAACTCTCTAAATGGTTCTATCAATTATAGTAAAATAAGAATGAAACAGACTTGTTATTAATAATGCAACAGACTACATATATATATATATAGAGAGAGAGAGAGAGAGAGAGAGAGTTGTAGAGGATTATTCTACATGATTATGCAAGAATATTTCAAGGGAAGTGGATTTCAAGAAAATAACTAAATAAAATGCTAACTGTACCCCAAAACTACACCAAGGCTTACTCCTAGCACTATCACAACCCCACCCCTACCCCTACCCTGTAACCCTAAATGAAGTCCTAGACCTATCACAACCCCTACCCCTACCCTGTAACCCTAAATGAAGTCCTAGACCTATCACAACCCCTACCCCTACCCCTAACCTAACACTAAATGAAGTCCTAGACCTGAGTCCTAATGATAACTCTTTACTCTTATCCACACCCCCACATACATTAAAAAAAAAAAAAAAAAGGAGACCTCGCTAAAACACATACACACTAATCTTTGTAGAAAAGATAAACTTAAAATGTCGTACACACAATAATTTTAGTTATAAAGAGAAGTTCTGACTTAATGACTTCTGACTGGAGCTTTAAATCCATCACAGAGAAGCAACCAGGTCACATGCTCCAACCAAGAATCACTGGTTGATCATCTGATACTACAACCTAGAACCTGCGATATTTTCTTTCAAATGTGCTAAGATTAACGTGGGGAAGATAGATTATCAGAAGAATGAAGGAATAATAAATCAACTAAACATGTGAACACGTTTCAATGTAAGCATACTAATAAATTTTAACAGTATATACCTACAAGGAGCTCTGGTAGCGTAGCGGTTATGAATCGGGCTGCGAACCTAAGGTCAGCAGTTTGAAACTACCAGCTGCTCCGCGGGAGAAAGGTGAGGCTTTCTACTTCCATAAACAGCCTCGGAAACCAGGAACAGGGTCACTATGAGTTGCTCTTCAAAAATGTCATGAAAATTTCCATTGTATTTTCATTCCATTTTCCCACAAACTTTCTGAAGCCTCTTTGTATGTTTTTTCTGTTGTGAAAGATGTCTGACATGCTCAAAAGAATCAGTTCCTAAAGTGTACTATATATTGCACAGAAGTTTGTGATAATTTTTCATAAGCATGTTTTTAAATATTTTGTTTATTGGCCTATGAATTTAATAACTGATTGCTTAAAAAATGATTAAATGAGCCTCTGTGAATACATTAAAAAAAGCTCCCTGGACAATAAAGACCTTATGGATTTTTGAATATCAGTTTATTCATAAGATTTTTATCATAGATTCAAAAGAGGAAAAATTTGTATGACTTTGGTTCAGTTATTTTGCCTCTGTCTCTGTGCCTCAGTTACTTTAACTACAATAATGGGATAATAAGAAAAACTCTATGTTCAACACTTAAATCTCCTAAAGTTATTATAAATAATAAATAGATTATTGCATAAAAAAAAAAAAAAATACATAGAATGCTGGCTGGCCCACAGTAATTACTCAGAACACTTGGCTGTTATTATCATCAAAATCACAATACCTTGAGAACTGTCCACTTAAGGTTGAGGTCCTACTTTGGCCACTTGTTAAGTGTTTAATATTAAATAAGACATTTAACCTCTCAACCCACCAGCCACTCTCCGGGAAAAAGCCATGGCTGGCTGTCTCATACAGATTTCCGGCCTTAAGAACCCTATAGAGCTGCTCGACACTGTCCTCTAGGGCCACTAGGTTAGGATGGCTGTTGAGGAGCCCTGGTGGTGCAGTCTCAAAGTGCTCAGGTGCTAACCAAAAAGTCAGCAGTTCAAACCTACCAGCCACTCCACAGGTAAAAGATGGGACAGTCTGCTTTTGTAGAGATTACCGCCTGGGAAACCCTGTGAGGCATTCTATTCTGTCCCAAAGGGTCACCATGAATTAGAACTGACTACAACAGCTGGCTTTCAATAGGAAGCTTTCAATTCCTCATCATTTAAAAGGGGAAAGTACTGGTAACCTACATTACTGAGTTGTTAGAACAATAAATGTGGTAATATATATGTAAAGAGGCAAGGTGGGTGTCTGGCATACTATATACATGAAGTTCAACGGTTATTTCAAAAAAAAAAAAGCATGTTGTTTTCTTCTAGAAGTACAAACCGAAGAGGGGATATTAAAAGACAAAAATATCGCTGAACATTTTCTGTATAATATAATGAGCACTGAACTGAAAATGTGAGTTCTGGCTCTGTCCTGTCTATTCTGTAAGACTTTGGGCGGGTACTTAATGAGCTCAGGTTTTAGTTTTTCTGTTGGTGAAATAGATGCATTGCACTACGCAAATCTGCTGCACAAGACCTCTTTAAAGTGTTCAAGAACAAAGACATCGGTTTGAAGACTAAGGTGTGCCTGACCCAAGCCATGGTATTTTAATTGTCTCATATGCACATAAAAGTTGGACAATGGATAAGAAGATCCTAGAAGAATTGGTGCATTTGAGTTAGGGTGTTGGAGAAGAATATTAAAAGTATCATGGACTGTCAGAAAAACAAGCAGGTGTGTGTTGGAAGAGATACAGTCAGAATGCTTCTTGGAGGTAAAGATGAAGAGACTTCGTCTTTTCTACTCCAGACATATTAACAGGAGAAACTAGCTCCTGGAGAAGAACATCACGCTTGGTAAAGTTGAGGTTCAGTGAAAAAGAGAAAGGCTCCCAACAAGATGGACTGACACCCTGGCAGCAGCAGTGGGCTCAAGCAGAACTGTGAGGATGGCACACGACTGGGCAGTGTTTTGTTCTGTTGTGCAGAGGGTTGCCATGAGTGGGAATTGGCTTGATAACACCTAACAAGTACTGGTAAATGAGAGGATGGATCTAGGGGACACCCGTGATTAGTTTTAATGCTACCGCTCAATAGGGTTATATTTTATCAACTTAGAATTTAAAAATAATTCGTATAAAAGTATTACAACACTGTCCCCAAAGAGATATAACCATTTATTTATATCTAAAATATAAAGCTCAGATTACAGGCATGTGGTGGTTGTGTGCTACAGAGCCAGTTCTGACTCACAGTGACACTGCCTAGGAGTTCCATGACTGTAAATCTTAATGGGAGTAGTTAAGTGCTGTTGAACGGGTTCCGACTCATAGTGACCCTCTATAAGGTTTTTGAGGAGTGGCTGGTGAGCCTGAACCACTGACCTCGCAGTTCAAACTGACTTTGTAGTCCAGCGCATTAACCCACAGGGCCACACCACGACTCCTGATGGGAGCAGTAAGCCTCCTCTTTCTCCCATAGAGCAGCTGTTGGATTCAAACTGTTGACTTTGCAGTTAACATCCCAACAGGTAACCCACTGTGCTACCTTTATAGGCACGTTACAAACACTAAATAAAATAGGTTACGGACTGGTTAGTGGTTCCTTCAGTGACTTGTAAGTTAAAAGCCATCAGAATAGATACTTAATGATATATATACTTTTCTGGATGTATACTGTAAAAACAATAAAAATATGTCAGAGAAATGCATGTACTATTTCATAAAAACATTACATACTGACTATTCCAGGAGTGGACCATCAAGTTTCCAGGTCCAAAGAAACTGAATTGAAGACCTTTTTCAGACTTGAAATACTCAATCTTAATTGCAGAATGAAAAACAATTGAGAACTAAGATGTTTAGAAAATTTCATGCTATCATATACTCAAGCATAGCAAAACCAACATTGAATACCAATCTAATTTCTCTGTATAATTCAAGATTGTAGTAAGAAAATTCTAGTTTGCTTTCCTATTTTAAAATCTTAAAAATCTGATGTTACTTCCCTAAGTGCTATGATAGAAATAATTATATGTACAATGGGGGCTTCAAAAAGTTTGTGGTAGAATTCCATTATCTTCTCATGCCACTTTACCATGAGCTGTTTGAAGTCCTCTTATTCTTAGCTCCATTTACTTACCTGAGTAAGAAGCATAAAGGCATTATCTGCCCTAAGATGTTTAGTAAGAAATTCCACACAATGAGCTTCTAAGGCGGGGACTGCATATTTCTTAGCAGTATAAAGAGTGGTCATAACTGTTTCTGGACCAATCTGAACTTCGTCTGAATATAGAAATCTGGAAAGCAATCAGGAAATTACAGAGATGGTTAGTAATGTTCTAGAGAAGTCATTCATGTGAACCTCTGAGGAAGATTTTCATAGGTAATGAGCTGGAAAGCCTGAAATCTACATCTGGCTTTCAAGTCTACAGGGCTTCTGCATTTCCATCATATCTCATTTTATTCACACTCAATCCTGAGACTCAGACAGGTAATCTCTCCATTTGACAGGGGAAATGAGGTTAAGCCAAGAAACACAGGGCAGACCCATGTCTCTACGTCAAGTCTGGAGAGTTCTTTTTACCACTCAGAGTTGCTGAAGACCAACCTGTGATTTATTTTTCCCTCCTTCATGTTCACTTACTACATTTACAGAGAGCTGATGTCCATACCACTGAATGTTAAAGCATTCATTGCCTGATAATGATGCTTTCTCACACTTTAACTTTTCAAAATTATCATGACCACAGATTAGAGCCTGCTAGGACTTTAGAGAAATAAAACAATTTAATAATATGTTAAAAGACCCCCACGTCTTTGCACATTCTGAGCTTTTAGGTCCAGTATTGTCTCAGAATACAGTCTTCATTGGTCCAGTACTGCTTTCCTCCTCGTAGACTGCGTCTAGCTGCTAGGTCCCTAGTTAACCAACTTCACAGAACTGGAGAGAAAGCAGATTCTAAGTGAAGGCACAGGCAGTTCTTGCTGAACTACTCTGGAGTTTTTGTGTATCAACTGTAGGTCCACTTTGTGGCTCTTCCTAGACCCTCTATGCTGACTGCTCAGATCTCAGCCATAAGTTTAAGAAAAGTCATTAATTCTTCCAGAATCAAATCTGACACTTAGTGAGCAAGGAAAAGAAGTCCTATGCCATGTCCCTACTTCCTCTTTCATTCCTTGGGTCCTTAATCGCCCCCCATGATGAAGCACTAGCATGATATACCCCTAACTTGTCCTGAGGAAATCACTACTTGTACAACGATCTCATTCTTCTCCTCTCCTACATCTCAGCTTCAAAAGTTAGCTTTACTGTTTTTCTGAATTATACAATTTAAAAATTTTTCCTCCAAACTCCATTTCTAGCATAAATCAGTCAGCTCACAGTACTCAATCACCCTCACAGTACTCACTTAACATTAAACGTATGGCACACTTTGTAATGGGCACAAGGAGCTAAAAACCAAGTATCCTAAGAGATCTCATAGTAGGAAAAAGGATGATAAATAAAAGGAAGAGGAAGCCAACATCTGTTGAAGGTCAGTCATATGACATATGCCATCTTATTTAATCATCTCACAAAAGAAGGTAAACAATGTTACCTTCATTTTAAAGATGAGAAAAACCAGGCTGAGGAACACAAGAACTGTCTACCACATGACACCATGACTGGGCGACTATTGGTCAAGCAGGACAGGCTTTTCATTTGTGTGGACTCTGGAAGAGACTTGGAGTTGAGCCTTTCCTGTCTTGTTTAACTCTGTAGTTTTAGGAAGTCACTGCCACTGTGTGCCTGCCTGACAACAGATGAGAACAGCTTACTTCCTGTTGCTGTGGTGAGGATCAGTGTAAGTTAAAACACAAAGTGCACAGAACAGTGTCTGACAAATCATTAGTTTCAGTGTCTCCTAGTTATTTTTAGATGGTCCCATATTTCTTATCTCTAATATTTTCCTCTACATTTTGGAAGACTTCCTCACTGTTATCTTTCAACCTTTCTATATAACAGTTGCAGGGAAACTACTTTCATTTCTATTAAGAAAAAAGGCACTTAAAAATCCAAGAATCATTTTGGTTCATATTTCACTTCCACATCTCTCTCAAGTCTCTTCAATTGTCAAAATTGCTATAATAATAATCAACAGCTAAGCCTGGTGTGGTGCTGTAGCATAAGCACTGGATCACAAGGTCAGTCTGAACTTCAATGATTGGTGGTTCAAAGTCACTAGCCACTCTTCCGAAACCCTACACAGGGTGTCACTGTGAGTCAGAACTGATGAATGGCAATTAACAACAAGATGCTAAGGTTTAAAAATATATATAACTAAGAACTAAACATGACATTATTATAATCCTTTTGTCTATGAAAAGTGCACATTTCTATTTTCATGTGCTCAATCTCTAAGGACAAGACATAGAAATTATTACATCATCGATCACTTCTGTTTGATGGATAGGTTTCCAAAAAGATTAAAAAGTAAAAAATGTAAATCTAGTATTAAAAATGTTAAAGTGAAAACTTAAATTTATATTAGAAGACATCGTACATAAAATCAGAACCAAACGAAACCTGTTGTTGTCAAGTCAATTCCAACTCAGAGCAACCCAAGAGGACAGACAGAGAGGCCTCCTATGGGTTCGATGGGGCGCTGAATTACTTGATATGGCTCTGGCCAGTCTCTGTAACACCCACCAAATAACTGGGCAGGACTAAGCAAATATAAAGTGTTTGCAGCCCTCAAGGGGATTGAATAACTTGCTAATAATGTAAATAAGGTGCACAACACTCATGTGAGATGGTGGTGTTGTTAAATGTCACCCAGTCGGTTCCGACTCATAGCGACCCTGTATAGGGTTTCCAAAGAGCAGCCAGTGGCTCTGAACTGCCATCCTTGCGGTCCAGTACATTATTCAGCAGTGCTACACCATGTGAGGCAGGACCATGGAAATATCATGTATGGAACCCTAACTAGAGGATTAATCAGGCTCTGGCAGTGTAGTGGTTAAGAGCCTAGCTGCTAATTCTAAGGTCAGTAGTTTGAAAATACAGGTTTTTCCACAGAAAAAGATGAGGCTTTCTGCTTCTGTATAGATTTATAGCCTCGGAAATCCTATGCAGGGTTGCTATGAGTGGGAGCCGATTCCACGGCACACCACTACCAGACGTATAATGAGTAATTCCAAAGCAAGGAATGGGGATCTCACTATCATCAAGAAAGAACAGCCCGGAGTGGAAAGTGTACTCTGGAACCCAAGATCCCTGCACTGACTAATCTCCTGGATCCAGAAGATAGGGAGCTGTGACACCAGAGATGCTGAGAGCCATGGCAGAGAGGAAGAGGAAGCAGAACCAAGAGCATGAGACAAAGAAAGTAGTGGGCTCCCTGGCCCACAGAGCAAGACAGCTGAGTGTGCCTTTGGACTGGAGATTTCTGATAGAGTGGATTGCCTCCAAGCACTTAATCAGAATGGGGGTAAAGAGAGATCAATCTGCCAACCAACAGAGCTAGATGTGAATTGCCTTGAGTCCAGGCATACAGGAAGAATGGGCATTTGATGGGCAGAGTTACTCATACCCAAGTATAGCAGAGGTCAAGGGGCCATGGGTCTGAGAGGCTGAGAGCTAAAAGAGCTTTGTAACACTTATACAAACAGGCCAAGAAGTCCGGGGTCTAGGTGTGCCTTTGAGCACAGCTAAGTGGAGTCCTGGTGTGGCGCTGTGGGTTTAATATGCCAGACTGCAATGCCGTTTGAACTGCAAGGTCGGTGGTTCAAGCTTACCAGCTGCTCCTTGAAAACCCTATACTATATAGGGTCACTATGAGTCAGAACTGACTCAACAGTACTTAACAACAACAAGAGGAGTCCTGGTGTGGTGCTGTGGGTTTAATACGCCAGACTGCAATGCCTTTTGAACTGCAAGGTTGGCGGTTCAAGCTTACCAGCTGCTCCTTGGAAACTGTATACTATACAGGGTCACTATGGGTTGGAACCGACTCGACGGTACTTAACACCAACAAGTGGAGTCCCGGTGTGGCGCTGTGGGCTAATGCACTAGACTGCAAAGCCGTTTGAACTGCAAGGTTGGCAGTTCGAGCTCACCAACTGCTCCTCAGAAACCTATACAGGGTCGCTATGGGTTGGTTTTGACTCAACGGCACTTAACAACAACCAGAGGAAGCTGTCTAGACAGAACTGTATCCTGAACTATGAATTTTAACCAGCAAAACTGTAGGATCAGCACTAGATTGCGAACCACAAGGTGGGCAGTTCAAACCCACCAGCTGCTTCTAGGAAATCCTACACAGGGATCACTACGAGTCGGCACCAACTCTACAGCACTTAACATGTCCCTTATAAACTTCATAATCGTGGCTATTGTAACACAGCAGAGAAGTACAGGGTGTCATGAGAGGCATGGGTGTTGTTAGAACTGGTGAAAAGATAGGAGCAGGGAGGCGTGTCTGATGTCTACCTCACAGGACTTGGCCTCAGGCTGCTGGTTTTGATTCTCTTTCCCCCGGCGTGAAGTTAGAGGAGGTCAGATGCCACCCTCATGCCATTTGTACATTTCCAAGGCTGTAATCTTTACAAAAGCAAATTGCCACATCTTTCTCCCACAATGCACTGATGAGTTAGAACCACTAACCTTGCAGTTAGCAGCCCAGTACTTAACCACTGTGCCACTGGACTCCTTAGAAAGCATCTTAAGATCATGTAAAAGAAACCAGGTATTACCACCAATTCATTCATTTCACTGAAAAATATTTATAGAGGGGCTCTGTAGTGTCAGAGGAGTCATGGTGTGGCACTGTAGGATAAGCACTAGACTGCTATCTGCAAGGCTGTCAGTTCAAACCCACCATCTGCTCCTTGGAAACCCCATACAAGATCGATATGAGGACTGGCTTACAAGCTTTCCAGAGGGAACCTAGATCCAGAGGGCATGGCGGAAGGTAGCCTCTCCACTGAGTAGTATCTAATCTGTCTGGGCAAAGCTGATGAAAGGAGATGCGGATAGGTCTCTGTGATACAATACTGAATAATTGTTATTAGGACTGCTTGTGAGGGTTGGAAATGTAAAGGTAGATGTTTTGTAGCAAAAGGAGGGAAGTGATCGACTTTGCAGTCCAGGAGCGGAGGTCCCTGGGACCATCAAGGGAGAAGAG